TATTCTATTCTATTCTATTCTATTCTATTCTATTCTATTCTATTCTAAATATTTAGCCCCTTAAATGGCGCCCTTGCTCTCCATTTAATGTGGGTGAGAAGACAAAGCAAGATGAAACGAACACACGCTGATCTTGTGCATCCATATTTTTCGTGTAGCAAATGCAGAGGGATGCTAATATACCTTGAGTATCTTCTTTTCCAAATGTAACTAGATTGCCTTTGTTTTTATCATCAGATCAGAGATTCCCTTTTTTTATCAGAGATGAGTTACCTGCATGGATATAAAGAGTTTAAGATTAAAAACATGGCTAATCTTTTTAAAAAAAATCATTTTAGAGTAATCAGATAAAGCAGATGGAAGATGTAAAGATATCCAAGAAGAGCAAAGTTGGAATCCTTCCTTTCGTTGCTGAATTTGAAGAGTTCGCAGCTTTGGCTGAATCTATATTCAGAAATGCTGAACGCAGAGGAGATCTGGATAAAGCTTACCTGAAACTTATTCGCGCAGTTTTTGCTAATGGTAAAATCTCTTTTCTGATCTGCTGTGTCATAAATAATATCTCATTTTGTTGACGAATCGGGCTAAAGTCTTACACTGCTGAATCTTGTTATGCATTATTGTACTACATGTCACTTCCAAATCATTTTTGTCACGTGAGAGTTGGTACCTATCAATCATGTATGAAGCATTTCAATATTTCTTCCCATTTCTTTACAATTCTGTTGCCAATTCCCAGATTCCAATTTAGAGGTACTTACCTTATAGGGACAGTCAACAAGCAAACCTAAGACATAGCTGAATCTGGGGCATTTCAAGGAATTATGATTTGGGCATCTCACTGAATTGTATGGTTGTGTGGAACTCTTTAAATGTGGTTTGCTTGATTTTGACTTTGCCTGCTGTTCAAGCCAAATCCTTCTCTATTGCTTAGTAGTTCTCACTAATTCACTTAATTCTCACTAGTTATAGTTAAACAAAGCATGGGCTAGTGTGAAAAAACAACAACAGAAGAATCTCTTCTGATTCAAATATTGTAATGATGATAACAATGAGAGAAAAGTGGTTTTAAGTAACTGTAGTACATTAAAATCTCTATTCTGCTATTAGAAATGATACTAAAGTTTTTTTATTTATTTGTTAAATTTAGGAACCACCCATCTTACTATCTTTTATAGTGGTACTTTCTCTCTTATTAGTTTTCTTTCACTGTCATCTTTTTTTCTGTTTTATAACGACTAGTTAAGACCTTTTTATTTGTTGTTCGCTATCCTTTACAGTTAACTCTTTGCTTGTTTTTCCAAATTTATCACAATAATCTTCTGACTTGGAAAATAAGCCTAGGTTACCATTGCTCTTTGATATTTCACGGTGGTTTATGTCTCCGTGGGGTGTTTTCCTTTTATTTTTGTAGTTGAGAAAATAGCAAATGAAAGCCAAAAGACTCCTCGGGATGTGGTTATGATGGAGAACTTTCACCATATCTTTGCAACGCTCTCTCGTTTGAAGATCTCCTGTCTAGAGGCCGAGAAAAAGGAAGCTAAGCAGCAATACACAGATTACTTACAGTTATATGTGATCTACTCTTTGGGACAGCCGCTTGAGAAATTAAATGTAAGGATTTTTTTAAAAAAATTTCTTTAATTCTAGGTTAAAACCAGAAATACGTATTTTTATAGAACGCACATAAAAGTTTTCTCTCCTTCATTAAATCCTCCATTCTTCCAAATCCTTCAAATAATTGTTAAATTAGTAACACTGTTGTTAAGTTGGCAGGAGGTCGCAAAAGGCGATCCCATGGGCCCGGGACACTGCCACCATCATAAATGTGAGTCGGCTCTCAAGCAGCCCAGTGAAAAACCACGTGACCCCAGGGATGCCGCAACGGTCATAAGTGTGATAAAGGGTGGATAAGTCACCTTTTTTTCAGTGCCACTGTAAGTTCAAACAGTCACTCAGCTAACTCTTCTGAGTCGAGGACTTGACTTTATTGTCATTGCACCTCATACAACGAAATTCAATACCATCTTCAGTGTACAATTTATGACCATGAAAATAAAAGATAACACACATCCTTCACATTCTATACATTGAATTGAAAACCCCCTGATATTGCATTAATATTGCACTATACAGTAGAATTCAAAAGAGCTACTGGGGTAGAAGCTGTTTTTCAGCCTATTTGTCCTTGTTTTTATTATCTGTCTGCCAGATGGTAATAGTTAAAAAAAAAAAGGGGGTGCCCAGGATGAGATGGATCTTTGAGAATGTTTTGAACTTTCTTAAGGCAGCAGGAGCTATAAAGGTCTTCCAAAAAGAGGAGAGGGCAACCAATGATCTTCTGGGCAATGACGTTAACCCTCTGGAGTGCTTTCCAATCTGCCACTGTGCAGTTGGCAAACCATGCAGAGGTGCAGTAAGTTAAGATATGGTGCAGCGGAAGAAGGTCACCAGCAGTTTTTCATTCAGTTGTTTCCTGAGAAATCTCAGGTAGTATAATCTCTGCTGGGCCCTTTTGACCAGGGCTGCAATGTGAGCACCTGTACCTGTAGAAGGTTGGAAGATGCAGGTGAATTGTCTTGCAACAGTTTTGGAAGTGTTGGGGCATGGACAATGGTGGGATTCAAATTTTTTTATTACCGGTTCTGTGGGCATGGCTTGGTGGGCATGGCAGGGGAAGGATGCTGTAAAATCTCCAGTCAGAGGTGGTATTTGCTGGTTCTCCGAACTACTCAAAATTTCCGCTACCGGTTCTCCAGAATTGGTCAGAACCTGCTGAATGCCACCTCTGAGCATTGAAGCGGGGCCAACGTGGAAGTGATCTGAATCCTCTCTCATTGCAGCACTTCTTCGAGGGCGTCGAAGCCCGTGTGGCTCAAGGAGTGCGAGAAGAGGAAGTGAGCTACCAGCTGGCCTTCAGTAAACAAGAGCTAAGAAAGGTTATTAAGGAGTATCCTGGCAAAGAAGTCAAAAAGGGATTGGACAACCTTTATAGAAAGGTGGACAAACATCTGTGTGAAGAAGAAAACCTACTGCAGGTAATATAAGAAGGCAGGCTCAAAAGAAGGAAATCTATTATGGTTTCCATAATTTGTCTTTTAATCTGAATGACATATCGCAAGGATGAAATTTGAATTATACTAGTTTGGATCAGTATGTAGTATTAGTGATAGGACTTGAATGAATAGTAGTACAGCACATCCTTTCTAGCATGCTGAGGAGAAAAACTGTTCTTTCTTACATGAATAGTTTATGCTGAGGTAAATGTTTGTAGGAAGGACTATGAGGTCATGTAAGCCCTGTTATCATTTAAGTCAAGCAGCTCAGACGCAGGTTAGCATCTGAGTGGAAAGTCATTGATGCCTCAGGCATTAGTGCCTGAAATTAAATTCACATTCTCTTGGTACTTCTGGAATTTAACACTGAAAGCATTGAATGTGACTCCACCTGTGGAATTCCGGACTGGAGCTTTTCATTTATTTATTAAAGCTTTGTTTTTAATTAAAGCTTCCTTTTTTTTCTTCTCCTTTTGGTAGGTGGTATGGCATTCCATGCAAGATGAATTCATAAGGCAATACAAGCATTTCGAAGGCTTAATAGCACGTTGCTATCCTGGTTCTGGAATTACTATGGAATTTACTATTCAGGATATTTTAGATTACTTTTCCAGCATTGCACAGTCACACTGAAATTTACCCGGCGCAAGACAAGAGAAGCTCACAAAGTTGCTGGAAAGCATCACTGACACTGGAAATTGTCATTTTGAGGAATGGCAGGGTGTTCTTAATTATCTTCATACATATCAGCATCTGGCTTAGGCCAGCTTTCCTCAATGTAACTGCTGTAGTATATAAAATTGGATTACAGTTCTGAGAATTCACAGCAGGATTGTCCTTGGGCCTACTGGCTAAGAATTATGAGAATTCCAGTCCATTCAGTTGGAAAGTTGGCCTAGGTAAAAGTACTGCCTAATTGTTGGATAAAGAGTGTTGAACTATACATTTTCACATGTAAGCGGCATGTCAAATGTATATTTATTATACTAACTTCATCTGTTTTCCTAATCCTTTACTTTTAGAAATTAATAAGTATAGATATTGTATCAACATCTGGTGTTTCCCCCCCCCCTTTGAAAGTGCATGTTAATATGTAGATTAATAAGATGGCTGAGTTTCTGAGAATTAATTTACAAGATTATGTCATTGCAGCTCTTTTGATTTGAAGTATATAAAAAAGCTCTTTACAAAAAAAGTACTTATTTCCTGAGGGAGATTATTAGCGGTGCCTCAGCGTGGCACAAAGGAAAAAAATGCTTTATTTTTCCAGAAACACCCAGTGATTGAAGTGAATGTTCAGTGCATTGATTGAGGTTTCCTTGGCAACTCTGAAATTTTTAGATTTAGGCCATCATAACTAAATCTGTTTGAATGGGTTAGGGTTAGAAACAAAAATGCAAGATACTACTCTTCTGTAAAAGAACTGTTGAAACTCAACTTGTCTTTTCTAGGTTATGTCCTAGTATTTAACCTTTTAACTCACATGACACAGAATTCACTTGCCAATGTATTTATCTATCTCAGTTTCTTCCTCACTGCACCGTTTTTGCTCAAGTTGCTTTAGATATCTTCAGTCGATAAGGATTCCAGGCGCTGTGGAAATTACGTTTTCTCACCTACTGGTTTTATTACTGGTGGAAATGGTGTGGAAACTGGACTACCTCTTTGCAGAACTTCTTTCTATTTAGTAGCAAGAAAGGAATTTGTAGAAATGTTCGGCTTGTTCCTTCTCACAAAGCTGTTTTTTCACCATGTACTATACAATGAGCATATGAAGAAAGCAACCTGAACTAGCATGTGATGGTAACAGTTGTCATGCTATTTGACCACACTACAAACACAAATGATAATGTGTACCTTGCTTTCAAAGAGTCAATATGCCATGCCACCCTCCCCGAGGAACTCAACATGTACCTTTCTAATTCTTAGGCCTAAGAACCATTTGTTTATATTCTATTTTAGTTGTGTAGCTTCAGTTTGTTGGCCCTCAGACCATCCTGTATCCAGGCAAATATTTAAATACTTGTACAGCCTTTCCTGATTCAAGTGAAAAGGAGAAAGTGCGTTGGAGAATGAAATGTGAATAAATGTTACCATGTCGATCACGCTGTATCTGTTGGTCCTGCATTTACAAAATGGTTGATATATTTAAAATTCTAAAGCAGCGGTGTCAAACTGGATTTCTTCGAGTGCTCGATCAGCATTGTACTTCTCCGCGGGCCGGAGGAGAGGAGGATGGATGCAGTGGTGGGATTCAAGTTTTTTTTACTACCGGTTCTGTGGGCGTGACTTGGTGGGTGTGGCAGGGGAAGGATACTGTAAAATCTCCAGTCAGAGGCGGCATTTGCCGGTTCTCCGAACTACTCCAAATTTCTGCTACCGGTTCTCCAGAACTGGTCAGAACCTGCTGAATACCCCTTCTGGATGGATGCCTCCTGCAGCATTCTGGCTGAAAACAGGCTGCACGGCCTGTGTCTGACCCGTTTTTCGGCCTGTTTTCGGTGAGCAGAGTGCTGCAGGAGGCCATGAGGGTGAAAACAAGATGCGGGGAGCTGCACGTGGCCCGTTTTAGCCACCAGAGGCACTGTGGGCCAGTCCTTTGATATTTCCAGGCTGGTCCTGCAGGCCAGATTAAAACACGCCCTGCGGGCTGGATCTGGCCCGCAGGCCTTGAGTTTGACACCCCTGTTCTAAAGGGTCATTAAAAAAAGCAAATGCATTTGCCAAAAGAAACCCAACAGCAACCCTCCAGTTTGCACTAAACTGATGTAGAATGATGGGGGACTCTCATATTTATTTTTAATTGCAATCCAATATTGGTAATCAAAGGAGAATCTTGACAAATTTCATTGGTTTCCTTGATAGTTCAGTGTGGGAAATCAAAAGAAATGATAGCGTGTCAGTCAGCTTAACAAGACAACTTCTTACATGATTGGGGAAGATCCTGAGGACCCATCAGGAAATTCATTGATATCTAACTATGCAGAATCTTGGCACTTGCCAAACTTTAAAGTGCCACATTTGTCTAAGATGCTTTACATATTTTTTAAAACGAGGTTAGAGAGCACCAGCCTCAGGCACTAATGATCCTGATTTTCAACAGCTCATTAGAGGAGAGAGTCTGAATCAAATAAATTCCAGATGGCTCCTCCTCTGGATTCTGCCTAGATATCCTGGCTTGAAGCATTTTTAGGAGATTAGAAATAATCACAATTGGGTCTGCTCTATTGCAAGAAGAGAAGGTTGATTAAATGGGAATCTAGAGACTGTCCATCACAACCATATTGCCAAAAAGATACCCTCCAATTTCTACCTGTATCTAAAAGGTTACGAAGGCAGCAAAGAAGGGAGTGTGTGTGTGTGTGTTATATATATATATATGAACTATGTTTTCTATTATGACGTACTGAAGCCGAGATTTCAGGCCAAAGCATGTTCCAGGCTTGCTCATCGTCTCGGTCCACGCTGTGGATCTGGATACAAAGCTGAAGGCTAAAGTGACTTTCTCACTTTTGCCTAGGAAATGTGATGGCCTCGTGCCCGTTTTCATCTCAAATCAACTCTGAAACGGAAAACGTGTATGGCCTCCGATCCTTGGACTATGAAAGATAGGAGGCTTCAGTGTTACTATGGAGGTTCTCCTTCCCTGAGCTCAGAAGTGATTGTCCAAAATCCATCTCATTGATTAAAATGAAAAGGATGAGCAAGGTTTGTTTGTTTTTGGTTAGCCATTTCTCTTCATCTGATCATCTAATGACTTGACCACTCATTACCTTTGAAAACATTAAGGCATGCAGTGCTGGTCTTTGGAGGAAGACCGTTGTCTCTGACCAGTATCACCAGTCCTGTATCCTCTCCAGAACAACACATCCCCACGCAATGAGCTGGTTCCCAAATCAGCTGAGGCCAGCTATCTGGTGGTTCCAACGGGGTTGCAGTGGATGCAGATTTTGGGCAAAACTCTTGGCTTTCCCATGAATTGCTGAAGGTCACAGACTCAGCCCTTTTCAGCATAGGAGCACAGAATGGGGAAGTGAAAACCAGGAGGGCCCTGAATGAACAAGACATAAACCAACTTGACTGGTGATACTGGTCAGAGATAACGGTCTTCCTCCACAGACCAGCACTTGCATGCTTTAATGTTTTCAAAGGTAATGAGAAGTCTTGGTGATGACATGAAGATTACATGAAGAGAAATGGCTAACAAAAACAAAACCTTGCTAGTCCTTTTCACATCTTTGGTGGTAAAATCCACGCCTCATATTCAGCTTCCCTTTAAAAGCTGCGTCAAATTTAACAGGAGACAGTGAAGCAGTTAGAAAAGTTAATGGAATGAATGCATCCTCTACCCTTGGATACGTAGATTTATATCTGGCTGCAAATAACATTTCCTAGGCAAGAGATTCAAAAGCTTCAAATAAAGCATGATTTTTTTTTTAAAAAAAAAAAATCCAGTTGTGCCTTCAGTCCAATGGAATTGAAGACCAAAAGTCTCGTTTTCCTTCCAACAGAAAAGGGGCATTTTTTACGAGGCAAGTGGGCTGCCTGCTTTTTCTCTGAAGATGTTTCTCTTCTCATCCAAGAAGCTTCTTCAGCTCTTGTTACTCCTGCACCATTCGAAGGCTATTCATCCCAAAGTGCATAACTAAGTGTCTATGGAGATTCCAAGTCATCCAGGTCACGGTTTTCCCAAAGGTGCTTATTTCATGAGGTTTAGTTTAGTTTACTTTATAACAGATAATCAGAGATGGAAGGGACCTTGTAGGTCATCTAGTCCAACCCCCCCCACCCAAGTGGGAGACCCGACACCATTTCTGACAAATGGCGGTCCAATCTCTTCTTGAAAGTCATTGTCATCATTATCATCGCACCTCGTACAATGAAATTAAATACCATCTTCCGTGTACATTATGCCTATGAAAATAAAACACACTCATCCTTCACATTCTATACATTGAATTAAAAACCCCTGATGTTGCATTAACAATGCATTACACAGTAGAATTCAATTGAGTTATTTAGTTAATTAAGTTATTTAGGGTTAGGGTTAATTCAATAGGTACCTGGATTTTCTGTTTTTTTCTTTGAAGGCGTTTTGCTTCTCATCCAAGAAGCTTCTTCAGCTCTGACTTCCATTCCCCATCTTCCTGTCAGAGCTGAAGAAGCTTCTTCAAAAGAAAAAGAAAAAAAAAGAAAGTCCAGGTGCCTCATGAAAAAAGCCCCTTTGGGACAACCATGACCTGGAATCAGGGGGTCTCCAACCTTGGTCACTTGAAGACTTGTGGACTTCAACTCCCAGAATTCCTCAGCCAGCTCGCTGGCTGAGGAATTCTGGGAGTTGAAGTCCACAAGTCTTCAAGTGGCCAAGATTGGAGAGACCCCCGTCCTGGATGACTGAGCTCCATAGACATGTGCCGTTCCCACCAAGCTCCAGCAGGGGCCGCTGTGCGCGGACGCGAGAACCCTTCCCCTCGTCCGTTGCTTTCCGACGCTTGCGCTCCGCTTTGGTTGCTGGGGCGACCCGAAGAGGAAGTCGTCCGTCCTCCGCGCGCCATTTTCAAACGGGGCTCCCTTTGGTCCGTCTGCCTGCTTTTCTTCGGCGGCGGCGGCGGCGAAGCAGGAAAGGGGCAGCAGCCCGGACTTAAGGCCGCCCTTTAACCTCCAGGGCGAGCCGCGCGACGCAAAGAGCGAAGGCCCTCCCGCCTCCCAACGCTGCCCCGTTTCCATGACGACGTAGATGACGGTAGAAGGGTGACGTCGCCCGGCTGGGAGTAGCGCCCGAAGGAATGGCGGGCGGGGGGGCGGACGGGGGACGGTCCAGCGAAGCCAGTTAGGCCTTGAGAGCGGGGTCGCCCGGGGAGGCCCCAGTAGGTTCGTGCGGTTGTGGCCCAGCGTCCTCGGGGACCCTCCCCACCCAAACGGGCTGCCAGGTGTTTCAAGCAGCCCCCCCTTTTAAGCCATCGCCTCCAGGACGTCCCTTTAACCTCCCTATCCAGTCCTCAGATCCCTTTCTTCCTTTACTACCCTGCCCCTCCTTCGCTTCTGTATTAATCCCTTTATAGCCCATAATATGCTTTCCAACAACTTTGGGGCAGGTCATTTTCTAAGAAGCAGACTTAGGGGCTCAGCATGGCAGGGGCCTTGGACAGATATATTCCTTTTGGTCCTTCATCAGATAGACAGAAATGACATGCCTCCTATTTTCCCCTCACTCAATAGTATTTGAACTTGGGTTTTTGTAAAATGACTTTTTTT